TTGTGTGTGGCCTAAGAAAAGGGCAACGCCATCTATCGTTGCATTTTGGAAGAATTACTTTTCCTTTTCCAAGCAAAATTCCATTACTTGATTATTATTCAAGTCAAATTTTAAGTCATTCTAATTAGTCGTTCTAACTGAACAACATTCGAAAATTTTAAGAATAATCTTCTTTTGCTTTTGTCACCAGTGAAGAGCAGTGCAGTGGTGACTGAAAAATTACTGATTATCATTTTATTATCCACTGCTTTTGCAATATATGCCATTCAATTGATTGCTTGGGACCATTCACTACAGCAGTGGATATTAAGCACTTCGCCGCATAGTGTCACGTAACGTAACACTCAATATTTTTGGAAGACATTTCTAAAATCAAAATTGGGATTTTTTGATATAATATAATATATATTACAGGTTAATTTCCATTATAAGAAGTTCAAATCATTAGCAAATTACATAATTACTTTTATGAATTTAAAAAAAAACATCTAAGCAATAATTTCAGCTTTTGTGTAATACGAAAGAAAGTTACATAACATTTTAACTTTACATTTCGTTAACACTTATAGAAAAAATACTATAGAAAATATTTTTATATTTTTGCAAGGTATAAAATAAGAGAATTGTGAAGGAAAATGGCGCAGATTCCGAGCTGATGTTTCCCTTTGCTCTCGTAGTTAATGCTAATGTTCCCTCATTAGTATTTCAGTTGCTTGAGCGCTGGCATTCGGGTGGAAAATTGAAACAACGTTTATTTCTGAAATTAAGAAAAAACTATTTGCAGTTACAATTTCTAGGACATTTTCGTACTGGGTCGTTTACATTTAAAGGATAAATTGGATGTTAAGCGAGAATGTTTGTTCTATTTAAAGAATGGTTTCTTTCACTGTTTCACAAAACTGCTAATAAACCATTCGTGAAATTGCCATTGTTAATCCTTTTGTTTCTCTCGCAGCTAACGGTAAAGGGAATTTAAGACATGTAGAATTCATCAGGAAGACATCAGGAAATAAATTTCTTTCAGTTTTTATCCACCTCTTATAGGTTATGTTTATTATTAGTCCAAAGGGGCTTTGTCCCTGAAGGACTATTGTTTTCGTTCTGCGGTTTTGCGTTGAATCACTATAAATGTCCGTTTCACTTTTCAAACTGTTGCCATCAAATATTATCGCCCTGCATTATATTTGAAGAAATTAAATAATGTAAAATCTGCATAAATGAATGGATATTTCTCGCATTGTGATAAAACAGTACATACAGCCATCGAATTTTGAATGACGTAATCCTCCTACGAATATGGGCATGTGGGAGACAAATTTGAAATTTGGAATTTGTTCTATGATGGATTTCATATTTTATAAAACTTTAACGATATTTTGATTAACAAACGCAAGAATTTCAAAGCGAGCAATGGCAACACTCTACGGCGGAGGCGAAAAACCTTTTTTTATCTGCAGCGGGCGCGGAACTGTGTATCGGAAATTGAAGTCCTGAAGTCTGAAAATCGAATTATTTTTAAAAAGCCGCAAATGCCTCAAGATATGTCTATATAACAACTAGTGTCCAAACTGCAAGATTGTAAGTTTCTTGACCATCAGTTTAAAATACACAGCAGCAAAAATAACCCAGGAACTCCTGCGTTCGTGTTCATGGTGTGCTGAACATTTGTTTGAAAGAACAGTAGACTAGATGTAATTGACTCATTCTTTAAACTCAAAAGAAGTTCAGAGCTGACTCCTTTTGACCTTTTCAGTTCTCGTATAACAGCACAGATTAAAGCGAAAGAATTCAAAATCTTTTTTGTCCGAAGAAAAGTATTTCTATAAAAATTGAGAGTGGTAGATCGGATGGTCTTGCTCAAGTATCGACCTTGTTTCCGTGCTTGGTATGGTATGCAAAATCAGTAACATATTAACTCAATTTGGCCCTGCAAAGAGCTAAATTTCGTACAAACTGAAAGAGCACGTGTTTTCATTTGTCATGAATAGATAGATTAACAGTTCTATTGCTAAAGAAATAGTAAATAAAAATAAATCTGCATAATTGATCTATTAAACTTTTGGGATCTCCAGAAAAATTTAACATAACTGCAATATTAAATTTCGACTGCGGCATGATGACGCAATGTCTCAAAATACAATGATGCCCTCAAAAGAAAGACGAACATTGCGCCTTTAATAAATCATTCTCTCATCATTAGCATTTAACAAAAATGCTGTTGTATTACTGTTTACGTATCAGGTCGAAATAAAAAATAATATATTTAAGAACTGAGAGCTCTCACTAAAACATTCTGCACTTATTGCCATAATATACTGTAATACTGAGTAAACACTCCTTAAAGCATTTGACTACATACCTAATCTCAGTCTAAAATTGTATTGCTTAATATTACTTTGGAACTGGAGTATTGTTCAAAAGTACGAGAGAGACGAAACGCTGTTTATTGTATTGTTCGCAGTTTTATGGTAAAAATTAATTCCCATTGAAAAGCCGGTATCTTTCTATGGAATCATAAAAAAATGTCCTTATAAAATATTTTTATGTTTTCAATATTTTATATTTAAAAAAATTTTATTAAATTTTTACATTTTACAACTTTTGATTTCCAGAATACGCACTACTTTAATAAGTTCACAGTTTTCAAAATCTTCCTTTTCAATAAATTTTACAATTAAAAATTAATATTTTCTTTTCAATTCTTTGGAGATAATCAAATTGAATTTAATTATTAAAAATATAGATGGATAAAAAAATATGTAAAAAAATATAGATAGAGAGATAGATAAAAAATATGAGACAAAATTGTTAACTTTATCGTTTTATTTCCTGGTTTTAATTTGGCTACGTCCCCTTCCGTGAATCTTAAGTGAGTCATTTGAAAAATTAATCGGTTTCCTGTTTATGTAATCAATGCTATGGATGTTACATATCTATTCTACCTTCAAGTGTAACCCTCATATGATCTACAGCATCTTACAATTTAAAGCAAAAATTTATATTTTTCTATTTCTTTTTTTAAAACTATGTTATTAATTTTTTATATTCAAATTATTCTCAAACAGTTCAAAATTTCAAGAATTAATTAATACATTACTTTCTTAATAGTAGTGAATTATTAAGCCTTGATTCAATCAATGATAATTTCTTTTTAATAGCAAAATAAAAAAAAAAATTCAAACAAAAATACATGACGTAAACTTTAATGCCCCAAACATATTTTCTCAATTCTGCATCACTAAAGTAATCACTTCACATGCTTATACTGAAATAAAATAATTATTGAAAGTGAAGTATCATCTGCTAACCGTAAATCGAAACGTGGAAATATGGAAGTGATGCACATGGCTTTTGAGCAGGCGGTTGAAAACACTTTTGTATAAACTTGACGACCTCGAAACAGATGTTAATGCTTAATGTCTTGAAATATTAAATCACGGATAAACACTTTTCTTTTCATTTCTAAATATTGAACAGGCAGCCGAACAAATTCATTGGTGAATTAATTCTGCAATTGAGGTATCCTGTTTGGCTACTTTTATTATGATAATCTTGTAGATGACCTGAAGCTTAGAAGACAGCATGCATCAATTAGATGACTAGATGACATAATAACGGAGAAGAAACTTTTATCTGAGTTTCCGTTCACTCACACATAATTTTATTTCGTAATTAAATCGGTTCATATATCAGCACGGGCGCGATATGCACACGCACAGTTTGAAAACTTACTGCATTTTCAAGCAATGGAGACAAAACAGAGCGACAAGCACCCTTCTAAATAAAGCGAAGTAGACAAAAAGGTACTGCGCAGTGGTCTCAGCGGTATTTAAAGACTTGGATCCTTTGAATTTTGAGCTCTGCGATTGCATGAGTGCCCTCCTCAATGCAGGACGATAAGATGACATAATATGCGAATTAGTCAACGCAGAAATTCTGCTAGCAAGGCACGTAGATAGAATAGAACGTAGATCCATATTGAAGTGAAAACCTGGTAGCCGAGTAAGATTAAATATTTATTTTTATTTCAATTCATATTTTTAACCTTTGATATACTTGGCACTCCTATAGTGCCTATTCGAAAACATTTGAATTTTTGATACTGATTGTTGCGACAGGAAGAGAGGGCAGCGAAATAGCTTCCAAGCGGCACCAAATGTAGAAGATGAAGTGCGCAATTATCCAATACAGAAGCTCACCAAAGGAAGGTTTTGGTTTAGGTTGGAAAGATTTCAGCTCTGAAAAGTTCAAGTTTCGAATTAGATATATCATCAGTTTTACGCAAGCCATGGAACATACTGCATTAATCTAGATATGGCGCAGTCCAGTTATTACCACTTTTAGATTACACAGAGGAAAATCTCAAATTAAAAATAACGAAATAAGAGGTTATTACTAAATTAAATTATAAAGCTGATTTACACATTTTTATCGTACACACATATGTGCATATATAAAAACAACAATTGCAAGAAGAAATTTTTCTAAAAAATTCCTTTAAAAAAAAAAAAAAAAGATTATCTTAAGAAAAACTATGAAGGATAGTAATATTATCTCACGTTTACTGATAGTGGAAAATTAGAACTGGAAATTTTTTTTCCCTTAAGTTTAAAGTTAGAAAAAAGTATTAATGCTTCAAACAGAACTTTTCAATGGGTTAGTATTTAAAACAATAAACCCGGACGATTAATGAGTCGAGTCCCGAACACACGTTTCATTCTTCGTGCCACTATCCAATTCAAACCGCTAATTGTTCTTAATTGCAAAATTATATTTCTAATAGCCTCATACTGCCAAAAACTACCCTGACATATTATTCGAGACGTTACTAGTTACAACCAATCAAAAGTTTAAGACTGAAATATTTTTACACAGGAAAGGAAAATACATAGGAATAGAGAGTAATTAACATATTACTTAGTTTAAGTTAGAAATTGTATTAAAATACGTTTTTATGACTTGAGGGTTAAGACTTCCGGATATGAACAATATGAACTTACTTGAGATGATTTGACGAAAGCATTGACCACCATATAAGCCTCTTCCAAAGTGCCGTTGTCTTTGGGGTTAATGCAGAATAATAGATGGGGTATTCCGAGTAGAGGAAACAAAAGAGCAGTTGCTTTCACGGCCTTCCTGTCAGAATATTCGATAATGGTGAGTAAATTAAATATGACAAAAACTGAGAGAAAAATACTGTCTAATAGTACTATTTATACTATCGTTATTCTGGCGAATTACGCTGCCCGGTATATAAGGAGCACCTGTAATTTCAAAATACATTTTTAAATTTTTAGGTATATTCGCTATATAACATGCATCCTTTTCTTTAAAGAAACCTGGCAAATACATGTGTGATGCTCTTCTCTTTTGAAGCCATTCATTTGAAGATTTTTTTCAGGCTTTCGAACAATGGTATACTGAACTGACAAGGAATAAGGGCAACAATATGTGTGTGTGGGGGGGATGCTTGAAGGAGTAAATAATTTTGCAAGGAGGGTGGGTTGTATTCAATGAGCACAAGAATGTTATTCTAGGGTTTCGAGAAATAGGGGACATAATTTGGGGTAAGAATGCACTTCCAACCGAAATGAATACTCGGAATTAGGAGTCAGATGTTTTCTCTTTCTGTAGTCTTCTGAAGCCGTGGTTTGAAGTGAACATCGAAGGCTTTAGTAAATCGCATTTTCATTAGTTGAAATACAGTTAATCTAGTGTTCCTTCTAGGAGTAAATATGGCTCCTGGCAAACAAACAAGCCCAGTGTTCGTTTTAAGTGCATTGTCATTCAACTTGCGAAAGAAATTGGAAATCGTGTAGTAGCAACGATGTCTGATACTGGTACTCCACAAGTGAGCGGAAGGAAAATGAAATAATAATAATTAATATGCCAAATGATAAATACGCCTTTCGTATAAAAGTAACGAAATGGCTTATCCCAGAGGAAAGTCTGGCAAAATGGTTCCTAGGAATTCGCCAGATTGGATTGATTGTTAGAAACAGCTTACGTTTATTTGCCTTAAAGTGGACAAAAAAGAATGAAAATGAAAGTGAAAATTTAAAGCAACTTTGAGTTGGTGTAATCGAATTATGACACAAAATAATTTAGTTCTATGAGAGAAAACAAAAGTTTCACAAAGGCTCCCGAATGATTTGGACAACAAATTGATAACTTTCCAGAAGTGTGTTACTGACCTACGAAGGAAAAAAAAAATATTGACTGTCACATACTGGAAATGTGAATGACACTCTAGTAATGTTTGATATAATAGGAAATATAACAATTGATGTAAAAGGAAAAAAAAAAAAAAAAAAAAAAAAAAGGTTCACATAAAAACAGTATGTCCACGAAAAGTCTCACCTCAACGTAGCGTTTTCCTTCTTACCGGACGGTACAAAATTTAAACCCATGATTATTTTCAAAAGAAAAACGATTCCGAAATATAAATTTCCACATGGTGTTTGTTCTCATTCAGTTTCAGGAGAAAGAATGTATGGACGAAAACGGTGTGAAACTGTGGATAAGGAATGCTTGGCAGAAGTGTCCTGTTGCCTTAAAGATATTCTGAAACATGTTCAGATTCCATGTAACGAATAATGCGAAGAAATTGTCCAAAGAAGCTAATTTCTTCGCATTATTATTCATGGCTGGTATTCCAGGCCGAAGAACAACATTAATTCAGTCTCTAGATGTGCGTATCAGTAAACCATTGAAAGAAAATTTAAAACGACAGTGGAATACGTGGATGTTAGAAAAAAACATTTACAAAAGGAGGCCTGACCAGTCTAGAAATACTGTGTGAGCGGATAATAAAAAGCATGGAATGAAATTAAACCATATGTAACTCGAAAATCATTTAAAAATGTAGTGTATCTAACACTCTAGATGAAGAGGAAAATGAATATTTATTTAGGGATCTGAGTAACAATGATGATTTAGAAGAAATTGAATTCGATGATGTTCTTGAATATGTAATGGAAGACGAATATAACGAAACTTTTCATATTATCCAATAATGAAAATTTTTAAGTTCATATGGTACGTCATTTCTTTTTTGTATGCTAATATTTTCTTTATAAGGATTTCTTTCATATTCTTAGCATGCCTTCGTAATGTAATGACCAGCACAATCGGCGAGTATTCGAGAGGTATGAGGTTCGAGTCCCGGCGAGGGCATTGCTCATTTTCTTAAGTCTCTCCTGACTTAAAAAAATTCCTAATATACTCTAACAGTGGATGCCCGAACTAAAAAAGGTGGTGGATGATGATTCTCCACCACCAGGATTTGGCGATTGGGTCACCTAATCCCCAATCGCCCTTTAAAAGGGGGAGTATATAAGGTATTTCTTACGCCTTCTTAACATGCCTTCATGGTGTAGTGGTCAGCATACTCGTCGCGTATTGGAGAGGTTCGAGTCCCAGCGAAGATAAACGAGGATCTGTTTCCTTATTATGCGTTCACTATTATTTAAATAAGTCCCAAATAGCTCAGTTTTTATTTACACGCACGGAATACTAACCTTCGTAAAGTTTTTAATTAAAGATATGCATAAAGCAAATTGTTATATATAACTATTTGCTTTATGCATATCTTTAATTAAACTACAATTAAAGGAAAGCAAAAACGTGTAAAATATTCAAATACGTAAATTACAATCAAGATGATGTTAAAAATAATTATTCGAATTTCTTTTGTTTAATTTTGTTTTTATTAATTTCAAATGTTCTCTAAATATTTGCAGTTTTTTCAGATTTTTTAAAATCTATTTTAGACTTTCTAATTCGAACGAATTGTAAGATTATTTTTTCTTATAGCAAGTAGCTTTTTATTTTTCCCCTTTTTCTCAACTATTTTTTTCGCGACATGTTTTACTGTAATTTCGCATTCTTTACTAAATGTCTCTTCTGTTTTAATTTTCCCGTTTTCTTTAGCTAATCATATACTGTTTACAGTTTCTCATATTGTTTTTTGTTAACTGGTATATTTTTATTGACACATCTCCATTTGTTTTGATTTCATTTTATTTTATTTTCAACAAATCCTCAGACTTTTTCATTTCGTTAATTAAGGCACTCTAACGCAAAATTTCTCACTTTACTAGAGGTTAGGATAGTGGTGGACAAGAATTGTCATCCGCAGAGTATTTTTCAAGGCGCAAAGTTTAAAAACTAAAAATTAACATCAATAAATGTTATTTAATTTGGAGATTCTTGAGTGGATTACGCAACACAGATATTGGATCAAAAGAAAACACATTACTTTACTTGCTCATAACAATCATCAGTAGGAAATACTTCTTTTTCCTTATCCAGAGAGTGCAGGTGGCCTATTTGCTTTCCTCCATTCCTTGCGAAAACACGTAGGCACATTTTATGTTTAATATTTATTTTGTATCATTTTATATTTATATTTAATATTTAATTTGCTGTTATGGCAGGTGTTTTACACAGGAGGAAAGTTAGGAAATCTCCTAGGCTGCAGCTGGATGCACAAGAATGCTTTGACTAATCCAAAAATCAATTTAGAATGCCAGAAAAATCAAGAGGTCCTTCTAAGGTACTGTGACCACACGTCCCGATTTTGGCGGGACAGTCCCGCGTTTTGGAGGACTGTCCTGCGTCCCACCGATTTTTAAAAATGTCCCGCTTTTTCGAAAACATCTGCATTTCTTATTTTAGATGTACTGTAAAATATATTACCTATTATTTATAATTATTATAGTTAAATAAAGAAATAAAAAATACATAAATTAAAAAACACATAAAATGCATGCAGAGTAAACTAAATTAGGCGATGTAACGAGTTAGATTTACTCGGTGGTGTTCAATCATTAACGTTACGTCTCGTCAAGGAATATGTAACGGAGGAACAGCTAGCATTAGCTGAAGGGCCATTTGCTTTCCACATCATAAACCACAATCAAAAGTTTCAGATCAATTTCTTGTATGTCGCAAATGATCAAAACATTGTACGACAAAAAATGTGCATGCACAAGGACAAAAACTGAAGCAATTATTTGTAATGTTTTTTCACTATATTCGTTTTCAAAATTGCAGAAAGCTTTATGATGCTTCCAACCACAAAGATTTAACATTATTTCCCACAATTGTTAGACTTTTTGATCCAGAAACAGGAATTAAAATTGGTACAATAGATTTTGTTTCATTGCCGGGTGAAACTCCGCAAATAATTTTTGATTCAATAAGTACTATATTAAAAAAGAATAATTTGAATAATAAAATATGGCTATTGTGAGGATAACACTAATGCAAATGTTGGTGGAAAAACTAGAAGAGGCATCAATAATGTTTTTACGAAGCTTAACGAACATTTGAATCAATAAATTATTGGGGTAGATTGTGCAACACACATTCTACACAGTACTATTCAATACTTCCAATGGATCTTGAAAATATTATCGCAAAAATCTATTCATACTTTTATGTATATATTGTGCATGTTGAAAGTTTGAAGTATTTTTGTGAAAGCACAGAAATCTAATATAAAAGAATTATTGGTTACAGCAAAACATGATGGCTAGCTCTTTTACCAACTGTAGAAAATATTTAAAAAATATACGAACCCTTAAAATCATACTTTTTATCACAAGATAAATGTCCAAGAATAGTGCAGCTCTTTATTGAAAATGACATCAGTTCATCCAAAACCAAGCTACATTATTTCACAATGCTGTGAAAATTATTGAAGGGGACAAAATTTCAATTATGGAAGGGTCAAATGAAATCAATAATTTAAAAACAAAATTGCGAGAAAGAATTGATAACGATTACATTCCTTTAGTTATTCGAAACTAGGTTGGAAGAACAAGGTGCCATTAAATGACCTGATTTTCTGAAAGAAGTCAGAAATTTTTATAATAACTGCTTGGAATATCTTGAAGAACGGACAGTTCAATTCGAGGATATTAAAAATTTTCATTGGGTGACATTAAAAAAGGAGATTTTATGGAAATATGTGGAAAAATCGTTTAAATATATTAGTAACCACTTTACTAAAAATAATGTTTGCGAAAATGATCTTTTTGATGAGGAGTCATTTTTAAAAATATATACATTACTAAAGAAAAACTTAAATGTTCATTGTCTGCAAATGTGGAAACAGACAAAAATGGACGGAGTATTCCTTCATTTTAAACAGAATAATATTCCTTTGAAAATATTTGAAAATGTAGAGCATGCGCTCTCCTTCTAGGAACAAATGCAGAATAAAACGTGTTTTTTTCTAATAATATGGACAATTGAAAAAACGCAGTTGAACATTAAAACTTTAAAATATTATGAAGCGTAAAATATAATTTGACCAATTCTGTGAGAAATTCACGAATTTAATAATGATCGAATCTATTGGCAAAGTATTCACTCGGAAAAATATATGACCGTGAAAAAAACCAAATATTCAAATTATAGTTTTTTTACAAATATGTTTTAGTTACCAATAGTTAATAATAAATATATTTTTGTATATTTATAGAAAAGTAAATGAATGTATACAATAAAATACATTTTTTTGAATTATTGGTCTGCTTTCATAACTACATTACAATTCTCATTTCATTCCACTTGTTCCGCTTTGTCTCGATGAAAATGTGGTCACTTTATTTTAAGGACATATTGCCATTTCGCCATTAGCTGAGAATATTTAACACATTGGTTTCTGCTGAAGTCTAGAGGTTGTATGTATGAGTTCAAATGATTTAAAATTCATTCATTCGTAAAGAAAATAATTAAAAAAATGTGATTAATTAAAATTAGTTGCAAAATATTACTTTTTGGTACTTTTTGTTATAGCGGCTCTCAAACATATTTGGCAATTTAAAATTTGAACCAAGATTTCAGCTATAATTTCGCAATCTCGTGAAGCGCGAATGTAAAAATAAGCCACACAATAACAACAATAATACACACATGTTTGTTTTCTAACAATATTTTTAAGAATCCTTATCCATGTCCCTATTATTTTTATATTATCGCATGTAATTATTCTAATCAGCTGTAGCATTTTCCCATATATTTAATTTTTTGTTACACCATATCATGAACATTAGCTCCTCTGCCCAAGAACACATAAATCTAATAGCAAGGACGAATGATATACTGGGACCTCTGAACCAATTTCTAACACGGAGACCCTTCTTTCCTTTACAATTTTTAAAAATTCATCTCCAAATGGTTTCGTCGTTAATGTAAAGTTTCACGTTGTGGCCATTTTCGGATACTCATTTTTCAGGTAAAAGAGCTCTCTCTTGAAAAAATGATATTACATCCACCTTACTACTTGGTAAATTAAAGAATGTTAACGTCGTATTCACAAAAAAAAAATCGATGAATATATTTTAAATAAACAATGCGAATTCGAAAACCTCATCAAAAATGAATAATATAAGAACACGCGGAGAGAGCAAAAATGCAACACGGTGCTAATATGCGATTGCGTGGCGACATATAAGAACACTCAGCCAGTGCTAATATACGATCAAGTAGCGAGGTATAAGAACACGCAGCCAGATTTTGGCGAGATATCTCGGTTGATTGGCAATTCAAGCTTGGGGAATTCAAGCTAGAACAAAGAAATACTTCGTTTTTTGTTTAATTTCGATATACTTTAATCAGATGTTTCAATCTCAATATCCATGCCCGAATTTTATGGTTTTTAAATCTCGCATGCCTATTTCTGCTATAGACGGGTTCGGGGCGAATAATACTTCTCACTCTTTCATCGTTACCTTCCTTTTCGTAGATATTCTCGATTCCGGCTACAAAATTGCTAATGCGACACGTTTAGAACGATCGGATGTTCGTTTCTGCAAATTTTTTTTGAATAAATGAGGTCTTTGAACTTACCTTCAGATAACTCAAGCCAAGTTAGATGGTCAATTATTCTTATTTTTTCGACATGCGGCTGGATTTATGAGGAGATTTTAAATTTAGCTTTCCCATGGGTTTTCAATTTCGGCTGAAGTTTTGCAGCAAACTCTTCTTTATAGGTTTACATTCAGAAACTGAAGAAATGAAGTTATTTTTCGGTGGATATTCAAATAGCGCATAAGAGATTTTCAGTTTAGTTAATATCTAATGAAGAATTGTTTCAAATGTTGGTTGTATTTCTTTACACACTCAGATTTCCTTGTAGTGTCTCTGCAGTTCTGCTGACCATTATAGCACGAAAGTTCTGATGGCATACTTATAATCAAAAATGCAAACTCGAAATTAATTATTTTCTTACAAAAATTAAGTTATATTATGTCCTAAACTAAATTATTAGTCCTGACAACTATTTAAAAAAGCTTTAGTGTAATTATCATAGTTCTTTTCTAATCTCATTTTATGTTTAGTTTTTAAATGTCCCTTGGCGCAAACAAATTTGTCGAAAGTAACTCCTTAAAATTATTTGAAAATAGCTCCATTAAAATTTGGAAAAAAATGAAAAAACAGTTGTAAAAATGTTTTGCTTTAGTCAAGGCTGCTCGTAAAATATTCAGTTGTATATAGTTTATGAAATATGCTGGTTAGTATTACGTAATTGCAAAACTTGTGGGACTGAAATTAAGTTCCTAAGAATCAATTGTTATTATTACAACCTTCATAAATTTAAAAATATATGGAACATGACCTTGAAATTTATGAACGACATCCTACATAACAATGTAAGCTCATTTTTTATAACCGTTAAAAGCTGAAGATGATAACATGTACCTAGCTCAAAAGAATGTCAGTTCTACATCTTTTGTTTTTAAAAAGAAGACTGATGTGTCATTTGTAAAGTGCATCGAGCTGAGTTCGCGAAATTTTGTAAAAAGTAATTCAAACTATTTAGAATCGGACAAACTGATGTTAATGCTAAATTGTAGTCAGAAGAACCGAAACGGTTTGGAACCTTGAATCGTAAGATTTTCTTCACAGAGATACAATGAAAATGTTACACGATTTGGGGAACATATCCAGTTATTTTTAATGTCTGTTAAATGAATAAATTCCGACAAGCGTATTCGAAAACATAACATAAAATTCTTAAACCACTCAAAAATCAGGAGATAACAAGAATTGAAGAAACTGAATATTAGAGGATAAAAATAAGGAACTGCTTTATATAATTTATTTTGCGTTTAGATTTAGACGTTTATATTTTTTCTTTACTGCAATTCTTTAATTCTTTCTATTCTATATAATTATTCTTTAAAATTTAATAAATTGACGTTAATTTATAATTTATAAATCGTTTCGAACACAAAATCACTTACTTCACATGGGTTGTTTCCACTGTTTGAATTGCTAAGCGTTTTGTCACTAAAATACGTATAATATCCACAAGAAATACACTGTTCACCTGCAAAGAAATAACATAATATTTTTTAAGATGTTTTATACTTTGACGAACATCATAGACACGATAGTGTGAATACACTGAGATGCACAAATAGTAGAATCACCTAAGACTTCTGAGCATTGGTAGTTGGAGACTTGGAACTGTTTATAATTTCTTTCATTTGTAACGTAAATATGGCTTGGTTTGGTTTATTTAATTATTAGCAGCTTCGCTGCCAGCCTTTGTCTGGCTTTTAAATGTACCGGGAAAATGTTTGAAGGGAACACCAAACGTTAAATTTAAAAACTGCTTAGAATTTGACTCTGCAACTTTATCAAAAAAAATCAATAAAAAATGTATTATATATATATAAAATGACAATGAAATATGCCAATCTCTTAAAAACAGTGACATAAGAAATACAATGAAAAATTGTTGCCAACCCATATTTCTAAAAGAATGAAACTATTCAAAATGATGCGATTTCACCAAAAATCTATCAACAACAATAAGAAAAGAAAAATTGTTGCCAAAATCACATTCTTAAAGATGTGAGATGTGAGAAAGTGTACTCGGAAGCTTCATTTAAAAAATTTCTTAAAAATGCAAAACATTATCATTTTTCTAAAATTCTTTTGTAAAGGCAGTCGCAAGGATAAAAGTTTAACGAGCATTTTTTCTGTGGGCGTTTTCATGTGGGCATTTTTCCGGTCACCAATTTTGATGATTTTCTGTATCACTCTTTTCGTGGCAAGTCTGGAGATTTTCATCATGCATTTCATCATTACCCTTGTTGTCTTCTAGCACATCTTGAAAATTTCCAGAAATTTGCTTTGGCTGGAAGCTGGCTTTTTGAAAAAATTTGAAATCGTTTGCGAAGTTACTCCATCCCACGCATTTAAAATAACATGCATGGCATCTAAGAGAGAAATCGACTTAACAATATCCTTATAAGAAGAAACTGCACAAGTCGTATCAATTTTGTTACTAACATTTTGAACCACTTCCTTCCTGTAATGATTCTTGTACGCTTTTATAACACCCTGATTTAATGGCTGAAGAAGGGAAATTATATTAAAAGGAAAGAAAACTAATTTTATATTCTTCCCCCCAGGAAAGATCATTTGGAGGAAGCGCAGTTACCTAACAAGAGCGCTACTTTTATCTTGCTGAAGTTCTTTATCCCAATTCGGAAAAAAGTCACTTCATAAAGAGATTCGTAAAAAATTGTTGTAATAAGTCATAGGCGAATGCTTGGCGCCCTTCAGACGAAGTGGGTTTTTGTTTGCATCGATGATTAATGGAGTCGTTTTAACGCTTCCGTCCATATTACACGTTAATAACACAAGTAACACGTTGTTCCATTTTTTGCAGGCAGCTGACGATTCACTGTTAAACATTAAAGTGCTGAGTTAGGGTTCGATAATAAAGACCAGTCTCATCAGTGTTAAAAATTTGATGCGGTTTGTACTCACGCAAAAGTCCGGCTAAATTCTTTTCTATTCAATTATCGGCTTCATTAGAGTCCACATCTTGTTTTTTTTCTCTCCATGTAATTTTCTGAAAATGATATTATTTTATTTCTATCTTGTAAGCCATTCAAGGACAAACTCCTCTCCAAGCATCTTAACGAATTCTGCTCCTTTTGAAACAGGATTTCTCGGGGCATCGTGGCGTTTTGGTGCGTCAACAATTTTTCTTTATCTTTTAAGTTTTTAAGTTTAAATCCTTGTATTTGGACACTCTGAGGCACGACCAAAAAACAAAAGTACGATGTGGATGTAAACAAGCTGTGTAAGGGAAAAAAAACGCAATGAAAATAAATAAATCAATAAATAAAATCTTAAAAGTTTCAGGTATTAAATTACGTCCAAAAGGAGCGTTTTTTAAACATTTTGTGTGTTACCTTTATTTATTAAATATCATATTCTTTGCACTTAAACCATAAAACTCAGTTCAACAGCAATATTGCAAAATAATTTTAAAATGAGTATATCTTTAGAATCTCCGATACAGAGTCTCACGCGCTGAAGATAAAAATGTTTTTTTTGCCCCCTCCCGTACAGTGTTCCTATTGCTCGCTTTGAAATCATTTCGTTTGTTAATGAAAAATTCGTTGAAATGTTACAAAATATGAAATCTCTACATATAATAAAAGAAAGAATCTGTCTCTGTGTGTGTGTCTTCGTTCACGCTGCGCGTAAGCTAATAGACCCATGGCTACGAAATTTGGTACATAGGTGCATCTAGACAAGAGCCAGTCCACCTCGAAACGATGTTTTCGAAATTTGAATTAGAATTTTTTTATTTTATGTTTTGTGACGAAATCGCGTCATTTTGAGACATAATGGGCTATAGGAAAGCGAGATTTTACTCTACACACTCCATTTTAACATCCGCATGAAACGTGGGCACTTAGCTATTTTAAGAACTTAAAATAAATTTCGTGTTTCAATAAATCGAATAAACACGAATTTATCTAACAAAGTGAGCTTAACACCTTTTCAACGGGATTTTTTTCTAAAAAAGTTTACTTTTGAAAATGTACAGTTTCTTTTTCTTTGATTTTTGGACACGTTAAACTTTCATCATTGCGACTGCTTTTACAAAAAAATTTTGGAAAAATGTTTGAATTTAAAAAAAAATTTTTAAATGTGATTTTGGAAACAATTTTCCTTTCTTATTGTTGTTGATAGATTTTTGATGAAATCGCATCATTTTGAATAGTTTCATTCTTTTAGAAATATGGGTTTGGCAACAATTTTTCATCGTATTTCTAATATCACTGTTTTTAAGACAGTATCATATTTCACTGTCATTTTTTATATATATAATAAGATTTTGCAAAGGAAAGTTGGTTAATTTATTTATTAGGATAATTAATATTTGTATTAAGGGATATTGCTCATTTGTTATACGTAATAACCTTTTTTTATGAAGTTGTTCTGCAGAGTAAAATTCTACGCAGTTTTTAAATTTAACCTTTGGTATTCCCTTCAGCCATTTTTCCAGTACATTTAAAAGCCAGACGAAGGCTGGCAGCGAAGCTGCTAGTGATATTGATAAATGATAAATTTTGCAGTATTTTATGTAAGAAAAGGAAAAGAGAAAAAAAATGTGTGTGGCGTGGACACATTCATACTATTTATGCTATTCTAGAAAATACATTACGTTTCTCGACATTTACTAAATATCCTAATATTCTTTTTAGATTAGGTACTATATCTGAAATAATACCATATATCATTAACTATGCCAAATTGACTGCATTATTATTATATGAAAACAACCAGGATCGATTTCTTATCATTTTATATCTGAACGGCATTCGTGGAAAAAGGTTTTTACTTCGAATAAAACAAAATTCTATGTATGGAAAATTTATTCTAATTATAGAAATTCATTCTAATGATAGATATATTTATTCTATATACAGAAATTTATTAAATTGATAGATGTATTTATTCTATTTATAGAAAATACATAATTTTTCTCAACATTTATTAAATATCTAACATTCTTTGTAGATTAAGTATTATATTGGAGATAACACCATAAATCAATAACTGTACTAAACTGAGTACATTATTTTTACCATTATTTTGAAAACAATCAGGACAAATTTCTTATCACTTTATAGCGGAACGGCATTTATGAAAATAGGCTTTTACTTCAAATAGAACAAAATTCTATTTATAGAACATATTGTATTTATAGATATGTTTATTATCTTTCTAGAAAATACATTATGCTTCTCGCCATTTGCTAAATATTTACATATTACATATATGCTAAATATTACATACATACGAACATACGTACATACATACATAAGTGCGTACATACGTTCGTGCAGACCCAACGGAAAATTCTCTTCAGAATTCCTTTTAAAGCAGTTTTATAAATTTTTTGGAGGCGAAGAGTATTTTATTCTGTCCTTACGTACAGATATTACGCAAAAACATTGTTAAATTGCATTCGATAGCTGTCAAAATGGATATTTTCGTTGAAATATGCTGCCTGAAACTTTTCGTGATTACAATACTTCCTTTTTATTTCGTGCAAGGAAGTAACAAAACTCAAATGTTTTTAGTTTTTAGTCTTACAACTTGACGTTATTTTAGAGGTGGATATTTTTTGGAAAAACGTGTCACAAATTAATTTTAAAGATAACACGATAACACTTGCAATGGAGGAAATAATAAATCGGCGCGATAAAAAATATTTAATACGTGTCACAGAGGAACTTTCCTATTTATTTAGCAATTAATCTAGCAAAACACTTGTTATAACAACGGAGACAGAAACAGCCCGAAATTTTCCTTGTAGATTGAAATCTTACCGATATGGTAATTCACTACATACAAACAGTGGTGGCCAAAATTGTGGACACGTTTGGAAATTTTTATGTTTTTGAACTTTGTATGCTTATAGAAAATGTTACGTTTCGCAAAATGCAAACTTGTATATATCATTTTAAAGAGAATTTATTACTGAATTCAATACAAAACACAAAATTCAATTTTATTTGCAATACAAAAAAAGTTATATGTACTTTAATATAAATAAAAAACACTGTTATGAAGTGGTTTGTAATATCTAGCTTTCCTGACCAATCACTGTTCTTGTTCTGAGAACCAATCGAATGTTAGCAACTACCAGTAGAAGCTGACATCATGTTTACACTTGAAACAATTCATTATTTTGCTTTGTTCTGTAGAAGGAGGACCTGTTTCTTATACACTGCAATTACAAGTAGGAATTTTTGTAAAAATTTTTAATATTTAGTAGAGAAGCAATGACATCAAATAAAAGTGTTGATTGGACACCTAGAAAAAGATGTAATATTATTGTGTTACGAGAAAGTGGTCTTTCCTATGCTGAAATTGCAAGACAGGTGGGTGGTTCAGTAAATACATCTGGATTTCGGGAGTTTTATTTACGATAGCAGGAGACAAATTCAATAAAAAACAAAGAAGAAAAAGGCCGAAAAAGGTGCACCACATTTATTGATGACAGAA